AGAAAATTTCAAAGGACAATTCAAGAAGACAAAGTCAAGTATTATAGTAAAATGTACAAAGACCTGGTGTAAGAAAGCCAAAAGGGAAGAACACACTCAGTATTTCTCAAGCTGAAAGAACTGAAGAAAAAATTCAAGCCTTGAGTTATAATATTGAAGGATTCTATGGGCAAAATATTGAATGATGCAGAAAGCATCAAAAGAAGATGGAAGGAATACAAGTTATGGTACCAAAAATAATTGATTGATATTCAACCATTTCAAGAGGTACTATATTATCAAGAGCTAGTGGTAATGTAGGGAGAAGTCCAAGGTTCACTGAAGACATTGGCTAAGAACAAGACTCCGGGAATTAATGGAATACAAATTGAAATCTTTCAACAAAGTAATGCAGCACTGGAAGCTCTCACTAATGTATGCCAAGAAATTTGGAAAACAACTACATGGCCAACTGATTTGTGCCCATTCCAAAAAGAGCTGAACCAATGAAATATGGAAATCATTGAACAATCTCATTACTATCAAATGCAAGTAAAATTTTGCTGACGAGAATTCAGAAACTGCTGAAACAGTACATTGATAGGGAACTTCCAGAGGTTCAAGCTGGATTTAGATGAGCATGTGAAATGAGGGATATCATTGCTGACACCAGATGGATCTTGACTGAAAGCAGAGAATACCATAAAGGTGTTTACCTGTGCTTTATTGACTACTCAGAGGCTTTTGACTGTGTGGATCATGACAAACTATGGATAACATTGCAAAGAATGGGTATTCCGCAACACTTAATTGTGTTATTAAGTGTTATTACCTCTCATGGGGTGCCTATATGCAGACCAAGAGGCAGTCATTAGAACAGAACAAATGGATACTAAATGGTTTAAAACTAGGAAAGGTGTGCACCAGGATTGTATTCATTCACCATACTTATTCAGTCTATATGTTGAGCAAATAATCAGAGAAGCTGGATTATATAAAAAAGAATGTGGCATCAGGATTAGAGGTAGACTCATTAACAACCTGCCATATGGAGATGATATAACTTTGCTGAAAGCCAAGAGAACTTAAAGTACTGGTGAAGATCAAAGAACACAGCCTTCAATATGGGTTGCACCTCAGTGTAAAGTAAACAAAAATCCTAACCATTTGACCAGTTAATAACATCATGATAAATGGAGAAATGATTAAAGTTGTCAGACATCATTTTGCTTGGATCTACTATCAACACTCTTGGAAGCTGCAAATCTGCTGCACACCAGACCTCTTTAAAGTGTTGAAGAGCAAAGATGTCAGTTTGAGAACTAACATGCACCCTATCCAGGTTATGCTATCTTATATAACCTCATTGCATGTGAGAGTTGGACAGTTAATAATAGCGTCTATAGAAGAATTGATTCATTTGTGTTATGGTGTTGAAGAAGAATATTGAAAGTGCCATGGACTTCCAGAAGAACAAGCAAGCCTGTGTTGGAAAAAGCACAGCCAGAATGCTCTTTAGAAGCTATGATAGCAAGACTTTGTCTAACATCCTTCAGACATGTGGTCAGGAGGGACCAGTCCTTGTTGAAGGACATCATGCTTGGTAAATGAGAGGGTCAGCAAAAAAGAGAAAGACCCGCAAAGAGATAGATTGGCACAGTGGCAGCAGCAATGGCCTCAAACCTAACAGCAGTAGTGAGGATAACACAGGACCAGACAGTGTTTCATTCTGTTGTTGTTTTGAGTCAGAATAGACTTGACAACACTTTAACAACAACAACCAAACCTTTGTTTTCCCCCAGTTGTCTTTATCTTTAAGATAGAAATCCTATTGGAATAAATAAGCAAGTGTATGTCTTAATAGATGTATTTATCATGAACATCAGTCATCAAGAGTCTTTGTTTTGCAATCGTAAACACCAGATTTTCAAGATGTTCATTATTATTGTTGTTAAGAGCTGTCAAACTGGTTCCAACTTATAGTGACCCTATATAGAGTTTCAGTGCAGCACCTGGTCGGTTTGAACAGCCAACCTTTTGGTTAGCAGTCCAGTGCTTATCCTACAGTGCTGTGCCAGGTTTTCAAGACTCTGGTTGAATGAGATGTTATGGAACTGGATTTGGTTGGGTGAGGAGCTTAGCTGCATTGGTAATATTTTACTGCATGTTGGGTACACATGATTCTGTTTGCTTTTCTGTATCTAAATATAGTTAAAAGTCTTTTCTCATATACATAAAACCCTTTTATTGAACAATCTTAACTAATGCCATGTCTAAGATATTTCTATCAAAGGATACTCTGAAATATGTGTTTCACACTTCTTAGCTTTCTTATGGCCTGCTAGTCAAAATATCATTTCTTTCTTTTCCATTCTAATTTTGCTATATTACACAATGTATGTCCAGTTTCTACTCTGGTAGGTATATAGCGGAGGTCACAGATAGTCTGCGTTAGGGTTGACCTTTCCCATGGAAGTGCTGTGTTTGTTTTACACAATGTTCATTCACATGATTTAATTCTTATGAAAAATCACAAATTTGTTTAGCCCTGGTCTTAAGTTTCTGCATGAAAATTATCAGTTGGAGCTGACTTTCAGCTGCTTACTCTATCTGGCCCATGCGGTACATTTTCTCCACACTCTCTGTGATTCCCTGACACTGATGGCAAACGTCAGTTTCCATGTATTAATAATAAATGTATATATTAAGTATTTTCATTTATGGCTGTTGTTAGATTACATTTGATATATTACAGTATTTTATTGATGTTTTACTGTGATATTCTCACTTGAGATATCATACATTTTCAGTACTTTATATTTTTTATAAAGTGTCCTTTCATACTTTTCTCAGAAAACATATGATCGAGTTTTCCTTTTTTTTTAATGAATTCTTCTTTCGCTCCTAACCAATCAGTTCTTTCATTCTTCCAGTTAAACATTTCTTAAATCTGATTCATTGTCTCAAGTCTTATGCTACTGCTCTACTTTGCCCTGACCTTGATTCTTTAACCGTCCCCTAACTGGATTCATGGAGTCCTGGTGTGGCACTGTGGGTTAATGTGCCAGACAGCAAAGCCATTTTAATGGCAAGATTGGCAGTTCAAGCTCACCAGCTGCTCCTCAGAAACCCTATACAGGGTCACTATGGGTTGGAATAGACTGGACGGCACTTAAAACAGAAAAAAAAAAAAAAAAAACTGGACTCATTGTCTTCAGTCTCTCTCACTCTTTTCAATTCATTCTAAGAGCTATTGCTAAAGGGTGTTTCAAAGTGCTGATTTGATCACATCACCCTACCCCACGTGCTTAAAATAGCGTAGTGGTTACGAATCGGGCTGCGAGCCGCAAGGTCAGCAGTTCAAAACTACCAGCTGTTCTGAGGGAGAAAGATGAGGCTTTCTGCTCCCGTAAAGATTTATAGCCTCGGAAACCCTGTACAGGGTCACTATGAGTCGGTACCGACTCCACGGCACAGAACAACAATCTGTTTTCAGCAAGGTTTGCCTTTAAGGTACAGATAGTAAATATTGTAGGCTTTTCTAACCATATGGTCCCTGTCACAAATACACAATTATGCAGTTGTAGCTGGAAAGCAATAATAGACACTGTAAATGAATGGGTGTGGTTGTGTTCCAATAAAATTGATGTGTAAAACCAAGTAGCTGGCCCAGGGCTATAGTTTACTCATGGTCTTAATCTGTGGTCTAGAAAGTTCTGTTTCCTCATTCATCTCATTTACTGCTCTTCCTCTTAATTTTTTACAGTTTATTCATAAACACCACACAAACTTTTCTGAGAACAGTCTCTTCTTTCTGTTGTTTAATTATTTTTCACAAATTATGAAATGTTCAAATAGTGAATTATTATATGTGAACTGATGGTTTCCATGTATTTTGTTGCATTCTTTTACCCTTATAAATGTATTGGGAAGTAAATTCTTAAAACAGTTTCTAATAGGTTTTTATAAAAAGATCTTAACTTTGATCCAGTTCATGCTGTAGTTGGGATACCATCAACACAGTTTCCAAAAATCTCAAAATGAAATCAATGATAGAAAAACAGCATAGTGTTTTTCATTGCTCACATTATTGAATCAGGGTTTGCTGAAGAACAACTTTAGGGCAGTTAATAGGAACTAAGGAGTCCTGGTGTGGTGCTATAGGATAAACACTGGACTGCTAACCTCAGGACCGGTGGTTCAAACCTACCAGCTTCTCTTCAGAAACCCTCTATAGAGTCGGAACTGAGTTGATGGCAAGAACTGAAAGCATGGGGTTTACATAGTGTTCTGTGTTAGTGTTCTGTTTTCACCACAATTAAAACTTTCAAATATAACTTGGAAAGCAAACAATTTTGGTTTTAGGATGTGGGTTGTGTGATCTCTTGGACAATAGGAATTCTAATAGGTCACTTCGCGTGTTTATGTATGCAAAGAAATAATGTAAATTGAAGATATGTTCTTAAATGTGTGGGTTTTGCCTTATTTAAAAAAAGAAAAGGCGGCAGAAAGTCTAACTAGTTGCTGTTGAGTCAAATTCGACTCATGGCGATTCCACGTGTTTCATAGTAGATCTGCACTCCACAGGGTTTTCAGTGGTTGTTACCTCCTTGAAGTAAATCACCTATCCTCAGAGGCACCTTTGGTGAACTCAGACTTCCTACTTTTCAGTTAATAGTCTCTCCTTTAACTGTTTGTTTCACCAAGCTGGGAAAAAATTATTTATGTTGGTGCTGACTGGTACAATATTGGGTAGCAAAAGAAATAATATCTAATTTAAGAAAAAACTGAAAGTTTAATTCTGGGATCCTATTAATGAAAAGTGATTTGACTACTAAGTTGGGAAGATAGTAGATGGGTTCAAGCTGTTGTGATGGAATTTTGTAAAGATTATGCATAGATATTCATTTTAAATTGATCATGAGTAAGCTCTCTTAATTTCCTGATACTTACTTAACAGTGCATTAATTTGAAGTTCTATTAAAACTGACCCGTAAATGTCTTTTTTGGTTCTTTTGTAGCCACCAGCTGAACAGGCCAAAGCCAGACTACAACTGGTTCTTGAAGCTGCTGGTGAGTATTTATAATTAACTTTTCTTAAATGAAAACAGTGACAAGTAAAGCGAAAAAAACTCCTATGTTCATATATCGCCACAAATTAATGCAATCTAAATTATATGTATAGCTGCTTATTACCTGAAATATTTACTGCTGCAGTGGTCATTCTTTGCCTTTTTTTATGTATATAAAAGTGACAGACATCATTTTTTTAAAGTTTTAATTATTATTATTTCATGAAAACAAAATGTCTGTACTCTTCTTAATATGAAGGAGGTTGGGGGAGGAAAAGATGATTTGCTTTGAATTTCATTTTTTTTTTTTTATTGCAATTATAGTCAACGTTGACACATGTCCTAATTCATTCCTATCTGATTTCCCTCAGGTTATCTATGCAAGCTACTTAGTTCTGCCATATTTCAAGACAATTACTGATAGTGGCCTTTGCTTGCTACATCAGTCTATTTTATTTCTCAGTGGTACAATAATGCTATGACTTTGATTTTAGACATCATATTCAGATTCATGTAGACATTAAATACTTTACCTTTTAAAAAATGTATAAGATCCATGTTATCTTTTCTAAGGGCTGGTTTTATTCTGAATCTTAATATGCTCTTCAAATATGTATGTAATTTATTCAAGTGACAGGTTGTTAAGAGAAAGCTTGAGGAAGAAGTAGAATAATATCGCAAAATAGTACATGTTTCTTACAAGTACATCTTTCTTACAATTTACTTTTTAAAGATTTGAGAAGAACTTATCATTTCAGCAGACTGGAAAATGAGAATTCTATTTTACTTTCAAAGATAGCATCAGACTAGCTCTGGTAGCATAGTGGTTACAAATCAGGCTGCTAACCTCAGGGTCATCAATTCGAAACTACCAGCAAAAAGATGAGGCTTTCTGCTCCTGTAAAGACTTACAGTCTCGGAAACCCTGTACAGGGTCGCTATGAGTCGGGACCGACTCCACGGCACATAACAACAACAACCACCGAATTATACTAGTTGCATTTTAGTTTTCATTGGTGAAGAAGATACTTATGTGTGCATTGATTCAGGAATCTCTTACATTATCTCTTTACTTGCCCGTCTAAGTGTCCACAGGGTCAATGATTTGGAAGCACCAGTTGCTGGGTGGGTTTGAACCACCAATCTTTCAGCTAACAGCTGAGTGCTTAACAGCTGCACTACCTTCCTGTTAGATGGGGTCATATATAGAAACATTGTCCTTTAGCCTTGGGTTCCAGAAAAAGTTTTATAAATAACCATTGCAGTGGCAATGATTATATCAGTGGACTTGAATAATGTTATTGGCTTGAAGTATACTTAGAACAGCTAGCAATGATTGTTAGTGGTGTGCTTTTAAAAAGATACATATATGAATAAAATAATATTAAGCAAAGCATAACTATAGGTGTCATGCTTATTGTATCAGACATGAATTTGAATTCAGAGATTTTATTGTATCTATAATGATCAAATTTTACATGCGCTAAACTTTTACTATTTTTGTGCTTCACTACTCTAAATCCTCAGATTCATAGAGAATACTTTTTTATGTGTTCATTGCTTCTTTGCAGTTGCAATCAAATTCCATGTCTTTTGTTTATTTTTTTTTGCTTTTATGTCAAAGGTGATATGAAGTCCAGATTATATCTAAGCCTGTTTTTTTCCCCAAATTGTTATAATATGCAAAAGATGGCAAAATTGTTTAAATATGTAAGACTGAATTTTTAAGTTATAACCTTAGCTAATGATATACCGTATCAGACTGAGAAACGTTTAATTAAAAACACTTTTGTCATGATTTCTTTCTTTCTAAAATATTTTCAGTACTTTAACCACTGACCTGGTTATCTAGGTTCAAAACCTTGACATTTTTGTCTTTGACTCCTTTATAGACATCCATTTACCTGGACTTAATGATTCTTATTTTGAAATATTTTCTTTTTATATTTGCCTCTTTCTCATCTTTCTCATTGACATCTTCTTACTCTAGATGCCAAACATTTTGTGCAAAGGTTATCACATTACCTCCTAATTGGCCTCCTGCTTCAGTTCTTTTGCCAATACAGAGACATGACAGTGAATACTGCTTCCACCATTTAACTATTCTTATTTATTTAGCCAGAACAGTTTTTCTTTATAGATTATGACAGATGTGTGTATTTTCCAGCCTACTACAGTTTCTTACTGTGTTTTTTACATTTCCTGTTTGAAACTATTTACATTTGAGGACCTATAATATAGGAGTCGTGGTGTGGTGCTAGAGGATCAGCACTGGACTTCAAACCACAAGATCAGCTGTTCAAACCCACCAGCCACTCCCTGGAAATCCTAAAGAGTGTTGCTATGAGTCACAACCAACTCAACAGCACTTAACAATAACAACAATGTACCATAGTTTTCCTCATCTCTAAGTGGGGAAAATAATAGCTCCCTTGTAGAGTTATTGTGAAGATAAATATTATAGCACACAAAATGCCTAGCCCAGGTCTTGGCAAATAGTAACCACCAGTTCTTTTGCATATATCTTCTTTTGGCACTGCTGCTAGATGATTCAGAGGACTTCTGGTGGTACAACAGTAAAGCACTTGGCTGCTCACAAAAAAATTGGGAGTTTCAGACCCACCTAGTGGCTCCAGGGGAGAAAGCCCTGGTATTTTGCTCCTGTAAAGATTACAACCTAGAAAACCCTGTGGGCCAGTTGTCCTCTGTCACATCGGTCACTGTGAGTGGAAAATCAATTCCCCAGCACCTCATAACAATGAGCTAGATGAATCATTCTTGGCCACTATTTAGTCAGGCTACCCTCTTGCTCAAAATTACTCAGTGACTGTTAGTTGCTTACATTGTCAGTTTCACATGTCTATGCTAAAGGTTCCAAAGTTTTGTACAGTAGACTCAGACTTTTCTAACTTTATCTCCTAGATCCGTCATTGCACTCCTTTTCATTGTTCTTTGAATTGCTCATGTTCTTATCTACCTGGGAATCTTTGCTCCTGGTTCTTTTCTCTTTCGATAATGTCTTCCTCCTTCCTCTTCTGCTTTGCAAGCACTTTAAGTCCTGTGTCATATCAAATTCCCACATGACTTCCCTGACCACTTCAGCACACAGTATTTCTCTCCTTTTAGTTCTTGTTGTCCTGGTCTGTGCACATTATATGTTAATATTTACTCATCCACTGCTGATACTAACATTGCTTCCTGAGTGTTAGACTTGTCTTTCTAATGAAAGAATACGCTTCTTAAGCTTAGTTGTTGTTGTAGTTGTTTTTGTGCCGTGGAGTCGGTTCCGACTCATAGCGACCCTACACAGGGTTTCCGAGGCTGCAGATCTTTACAGGAGCAGACCGCTTCATCTTTCTCCCGCGGAACCGCTGGTAGTTTCGAACTGCTGACCTTGTGGTTCACAGCCCAATTCGTAACCACTACGCTACCAGAGCTCCTTTAGTAGACATATCTAAAACGTCTGCATTTTTCCCAGTAGTTTTAATGACACCTGTAGAGGTACTATACCAAATAAAATTGCTGTTATTAATCTTTGATGAATAAATCATTGTGGAGAAACAAATGGTGTAGCTATCTGACAATTAGACCTTTAAATACCGAAGTGTTCATTTTACGTAGGTTTGATAGATTTTAAATGAATATACTATAAAAAGTTTCCTGGCTATCAGAGTAAAAGATGCTTGTATATGCCAATATTCTCATTTTTTTCAACTTAAACTTTAAGGTAGTTCATGACATAAAAGATAATGAAGCACGATTATTACACAGGAGGATGAAGGAAGACAGTACGTTAAGGATTTCTTTGACTCCATCACATTTACTGTTAATTACTGAAGGCTTCCACAGAAACACAGTGCCAAGTATACTTGTGTCAAGTATACTTATGTGTCTAACAAAAAAATGGAGGAGAGATTTTTCCTAGACAAATATTTTTTTATAAGCCTGAGAAGATACTTGTTACAACATTGCTTCAAGATGAAATTTTCTCTAAAATTACCTTAATATTTTACTTTTAATTGACTTCTTGACACATGTTGTTTTTAAGTGCCGTTGAGTCATTCCGGACTCATAAACACCCTGTATAGGTTTCCATCAGGGAAGTGACTGGTGAGTTTGAACCACTGACCTGGAGGTTAGGTATCCAGTGCTTATCCTACAGAACACAAGGATATACAACATGAAAATTATATCTCTAATGTAACAAAAAACAGAAAGTCCTTTTTGTGTGTAGGGTAAATCAACTTTTTCATAAAATCTCTTTTGTAATAATAGTTCATTTCCTTCTTAAGAGCTACAACCCTTTATGTTGTACTTTATAGTTTTCAAAGCACTTTCATGATCTTTTATCATTTCACCTCACATAATTGCATGGAGAGTTAATTAACTCCATTTTACAAATATCCTGAAAGCTTAAATGACTTGTAAAAGATCACATAGTTAATAAGTGGCAGAACCAAGACTCAATCCAATGATTTCTGACTCTTAAGCTATGTCTCTTCATAGCCTAAATCCCTGAGCTATGATGGGCAGAAAGAAGGGCACTAACAAATATTACTAAATATTTGTTTTATTAGGTTTAGTTCCACAATTATATTAAATTAATATAAGGTCTCTCTTTAAACAATTCTTTGATTCTGAAATTATTATTTTTTATTGATAACACAGAATGATTAAAGTCCAAGAAAAAAGTGTTTGTTTTTCATGTAAGAGAAGGCTTCAAAAATTTGAGGAAAATTGGAATGAAAGGATAATGGAATTTATTTTACAGTTTTTAAAAGTCCCTTCATATGTATAAAGAAAGAATAAGGAAGGAGGGGAGAAAGAATATTTGATGTCATTACATTTATGTTAACTCTGAAAAACTTAGGGTAATATGTTTTATGATCTTCAGTGTTTTTGTCTTATTTAAGTCTTCAACCTAACTGGAGATGTGCATTTTAATGACTCTTGCTGAGATAGAAGCTGATTAAGTATTGTAAAATCATAGCTTAGTTACAC